CTTTATAATACAGAGTGGACAAATCAGACACAAATTAAAAAATAACTCAAAACTGAGGCAGAATGGGTTTCTTTTGTGTTTCCAAGGGAAAAAAAAAATGTTGTGAGCAGGCTTTGTAACTTGGCTCTGTTCCTGTAAAGCCTTGTCATTGGGTTTGAAAATAAACTGCTGTGGGATCTGGTGCCACAGCCTGGTGCCCATTTCCCATTTCCCCTGCAGCATTAGCCACGCTACATATTGCAGAAGCAGATTGCAGTTACCCCGGGGCTTCCGTATTTACTGCCCGATCCAGCTGAAGATGCTGCCTCCACGGCTGGAGCCCCGCCGCGCTCCCCTCCTCTGGCCATCCTCCCTCCCCTGTCCACCTGTCAGGCCAGCCCCACGCTCCTGTTAGCGGCAGGACACGCTGATCCTGCTCCCCTCCGTGTCTCCGAGCCTGGGGCTGTTTCCCTTTGGGATGCGACGCTAGGCCAGGCGGCCAAGTTCATTCCCGGGGTAATGATATCAGCAGGGCAGGATTGCCTTGAGGTTAAAATCATTCATGCTTGTGTTTGCAAGGAGTGCAGGCGGGGTTAGGCCTTCACTGGTACAACCCGAGTGTGTGGCTGGGAGGTTAAAACTGCTTTGTCCAAGCTGACATTAATCAAGAGAACTCAGTATTTTCTGTTAATTACTTTACATGCACTCAATATAGGCCAGGCAGGCTGGGTTAGTCAATGCAAAATAAATCAAAGCTACATGAAAAAAATCCAAGAGGAACATTTCAGCTGACAAAGTTCAGCTTGTAAGAGAGCTTTGTTCTTCAGTGTAAATCATCTGGCTGCTCAAGAGACCCAAGTAAATGCGCGCAGAAGCCCATCCCTTTTTACCAGTTTCCACACGCGGAGCCCAAGTGTTTGATCTGCCACGGTCGTGCTACCCTCATCTGCAGAGCATCACCTGGCAGCAGGCCGCCTCACCCCACCCTGTGCGTGCTTTTTAGCCTGCCCTGGCTGCAGATAACAGGACGTTCACGTAGACCACCTTCACTGGCCTCGTGGCTAGCAAACGTTTAGCTCAGGCTAGGAGGAAGGGCAGAGGGATGGCGCTGTGGCTCTGCAGGCGGGTGGTACCTGTCCACACCACCTCGATGTGTTTGACCAGGCGCCTCTGTCATCAGCTCTTTTGTGCCTCAATGCCGTCCCACCGCGCTCCCATCTGCATAAAGCCAGGATCAAAGACGCAGCCATGCCCTGAACCCAGCCGTAGCTGAAGCCCGTGTCCGATGGTTAGCGCTTTGGTCAGACAAGCAGGGTAAAAAGTTTCCAGCCAGGAACAACAGGGTGTCTGATTTCGGTATCTCGCCCTCGCTCTAGGACTCCCCAACCAATAAACTACTGTACGCTAAGGAGATCCCCGAGTACAGGAAGATCGTGCAGCGATACTACAAGCAAATCCACGACATGCCCCCGCTCAGCGAGCAGGAGATGAACGCCCACCTCGCGGAGGAGTCGCGGGTAAGGCACGCTGGGCC